ATGGGCCGGTTTAGCCTCCACTACACACTCAAGAGGAACTTGGGAGCGACCCGTAAAAATATTTTTAAACTTCAGCATCTGCCTTCCTAAAACTCAAGTACAAACTCTGTGCACTGTCTCGTGTGTTTTACTGTTCACGGTGTCCAGCAGATGTTGTCAGTAAATGGCCGCGCTGTGCTGTAGGGCCTAAGTGTCAAGGCTGCTAACTGTTTATTTCAGCGTCTGGATTCAGCTGTAAACATTCATAATCAATCGTTTAGCGCAAGTGAACCTTGCTGACAAGCCACTTCACCAGCTCATCTGTCTACAATACACACCTGGTACTGACTAATGTTGTTATAAACCACAAATGTTAATTTTCGAGTAAGTTACATAAGGTTGTGTAAATTAAATTTAAAAAATCCCCTGTAGCTTCAGACATAGTTGCATCGTCACTAAAATAACAAAAATGTATTCAGGGTGATATAAAGTGGAATTGTTGATTCATTTACATTCAGCAGACACTTTTCCAAAGCAACTTACAATTGAGGTGTTCAGCGATAAAGCATGAGGCAATTCATTTATTTATTCTCCCTACGCTTAGTCCCAGAGCACCGCCACGCAAACACATGGAGAACATGCAAACTCCACACAGAAATGCCAACTGGCCCAGTCGATACTTGAACCAGCAACTTTCTTTCCCATGAGGCGCCCCTGCTAATTATACAAAAGAACTGTAAATGCTCAGAGAATTAAGTGCTGAAGTAAGACTAAGGGTTTGTGTTTTTTTATAGAGAGTTTCTACAGGTGGAGTCAAGCCCACTCACATGTGTGAAGCACACTTCCCAAATAAAGTGTTTCTTCTTCTTCTTCTTCTTCTTCTTCTTCTTCTTCATATATACAGTAGCAGACTCTCATTACAGACCTTGCGAAAAACACCTTGAGAAAAATATTAGAAAGTGTGTTTACTGAATGTGCACTCATAATGTAGGGCCTACTACTGCAACAAAAGCTGTAGCCTATTTACAGTTAATGTTAATAAAAAATAAAAGTTCACTCACTATATTACATTCCAAGGTAGAGAGAGTCAAATAAATAGCCTATTATTTTACAAAATAGAAGAAATAAAAACATTCAATATTTAGAGACTTCACTTCATAGTGCTTCATAAGACGGCGCTGAAGAGCAGGGGGCTGTTCCAGAAAGCAGGTTATGTGACATACCCGGGTAAGTTTGAGAGTATGTAGGTGGATAACCTCAACTTTGGTTCCAAAATCGGAGGTAACTTCTGGGTATGTTAAGTAGCCATAGCAACTTACTCTCTGAAGATAACCTGCTCCGGAGCAGGTTATGTTCAGAGAGTAAGTTGCTATGTTTTAGAGTTTGTCTGTTTTAGAGAGTTTACTAAGCATTGCATGCTCTTTTGATGAGAATATTTATGGATATGGACACACAAATACAAGTTTTTTCGTTGTGAGAGGGTTATAAGTGCATAGTTTTTTTCATAACCAAATTCATAATGTCAATGTATTTAACAAACCTTTTTGAAATCAAATGTGACAAACCCCGGGTCTGCGCTTACCATAAAAAACATTCAGTGCAGCTCTTTGTATTCGCGTCAGGGCATTTTAGGCAACTGTACAATGTGGCAGTAGGACCACCTGTACAGTATGCCTGGCACTGAACTGTTTTTTACACTTTCGTACAGTTCCTTGGTCATAAATCACTGCGTATCATTACACAGATGATTCAGAGCACGGCAATAGAGTAGTGGACAGTGCGTCGATAAAGAACAACGGAGCGCACAACGGAGTGAGTTCGAATCTCACATAAAGATTGTGTGTTTTTTCTCTCCTTCTGCACCCTCACATTTCTGTATAATATTATAAGTGGCAGCTTTGTTTTTTGTAGGAAAATATATCTATAATTTAAGATGTAGGACGTCGTTCTTATATATACATTCACGCACACACACCTACATTTTTTAATATAATTTTTTTTCAGGGTTTCTAAATGCTATTGTGTGCATTAATTGCAGCCGATTTTAAAGCTCCATCAGTCACTAAAGGACACTGATAATATAAAATTTGTCCAAAGTATAAGTGTGCAGGTACAACTTAATTTTCTATCCTTAATCTTTTGATGTTTCAACTATTAAACTCATTACTGCTTCCACTTACCAGCTCATCACACACCCCACCTCATCACTATGTTGAGGCTAAATGGCTGATTTTCAGGAAATAATGATTCAAGTGTATAACACAAATATAGTAAAAAAAAAAAAAACTATAAAGCAAATGTTGCTTAACACAATGTTTATTTTTATTATATTTGTATTATACAATAGAATCATTACTGGGCACTACATTGTTACTTGCTGGAGGACAAAAGATCCCCTTTTCTGCCTTATACGATGACACGTACCTGCAGTCTGACCCAGAGGAAATCTCAGTGACCCAAGCAGACAAAACAGATGGAAGAGTGCTAAAAAAAAAAATATAATTAGTCAAAAAACTATGTTTACTCAAATAGTTTGGTCTGTTCATTTCTTCATTTCCTGAAATAAAATGAATGATTTTGTACACTGCTTTACACACGCACCTTTAAACGTGTAACATATTTTTCATATACATTTCTCACCTTAAGTTGATGCTCATGTGACTTTATATTTGAAGATGGACCTTATACAGCTACTTTAGAATTTAAATATGTAGATAAAAGATTTTGTGATCCAAGAGTAATATTCAAATATGGAAAAGTGCAGAAAATTCTTACACTGCTTGTTAGTTGAGGCAGAAGGAACTTCGTCTGCATGCAAAATAAAAAGAACCTAAAGCTATCTGACAACAATCACTTACAACAGTGACAGAGTGTGTGGTTTAAGTCAAAAACTCAACCACTGAAAAGCCTTTATTATAGGACACAGCAGTTAGACAGGCCTCTTTCTATTAGCTGCATGTCAGAAAGCATATTCTAGAGTGTTAAATAAAGAGCTCCAGTAATTAAATATTACCTTTTAGGAGAGTGTTTCTGTGTTTAATGACTTTGGACAGAGTTCTAGCTCCAGAAAGATTACAATTTCTATAAGCCTTATTAGTCAATACACATATTGTGGCCTTAAGAAATTAATGGAAGGAAAATTAAATGCATGAATGGTTACACAACATACTCAAAAAGGATGTTAAAGAGTAGTTTAATTTATCATTACAATAAAATGGAGGGTGGCATGTGTAGTTTAATCAATTAATAAATTTTCTTATTATTTATTTTTTATTTTCTTATCTATTTCTTATTCTATATTTCTTTCCTTCGTTGAAGCAGATGTGTAATCTCTGTGTTTAAAACCTCCAGCTTCGCCTCTGTAAAGTGCGTTGCCCTTTTTTTTTCTCACCCTGACTTTCTATGGTGACTCGTGAATTCGGCGATCTACTGAAAATGCCTTCAGGTGTGTGCCGTGCACGCGCATTAACCCGCGGTTATCTTCAGCAGGTTGATTTAACTAACTCTTGTCACCTGTTTTGGAACCAACATACTCGCGGTAAGCAGGTTTTGGGTAAATCAACCGAGAGTTTAGGTTTTAGCAGATGGTAAGTTAACCCAGCTTTCTGGAATACCCCCCAGGTGTGTGAAGCTGTAAATAAACACCAGTTTCTGTCCTGTAGCGCCACCGAGCGCGTGAAGCTGGTCATTAACTCAAGAAATTTCACAATATACAACTGATGTGCACAATCTATAGGAAGTTCATCGTTATTTAGCCTACATGAAAAGGCCGGATTCGAGTTGTAAATGCAGCAACTGCATTTTACTGCTGTTTAAATAAAATAAATCAGTTGGTCTTAACCTCACTGGCTCAAAAATTGTTCTCAAGAAAAAAGTTCTCAAGCTTTTTGTTTATTTAATAAACATATATTAATATTTAAATAAATGATTTAAAATAGTAAATAAATAATTTTAAAATTGCATTTAAATTTGTATATGTTTTTATTAAACGGATTAAAACAAGTTCTAGGGGCGAGGCAGTGGCGCAGTAGGTAGTGCTGTCGCCTCACAACAAGAAGGTCGCTGGGTCGCTGGTTCGAACCTTGTGTGGAGTTTGCATGTTCTCCCTGCCTTCGCGTGGTATATGTCGTAGTATACAATTGGGTAGGCTAAATTGTCCGTAGTGTATGAGTGTGTGTGTGAATGTGTGTGTGGATGTTTCCCACAGATGGCTTGCGGCTGGAAGGGCATCTACTGCGTAAAAACTTGCTAGATAAGTTGGTGGTTCATTCCGCTGTGGTGACCTCGCATTAATAAAGGGACTAAGCCAACAAGAAAATGAATGAATGAATGAAAAAATACTATAGTAAATTATTGTAAATACTACAATATTTTTTTAACCATATATATTGTAGTGTTTACCATTTGATAATGAATACTATGCAGACTGTAATATTAACTAGTGACCTTATAAACTGCATTATATTAGAATACTTTAGATTTTACTACAGTAAACAGTAGTGTATTGTAGTACACTATAGGTACTGGGGAATTTGCTTATAATGTGAGCGGTTTGTACAGCAACTACAGAATTATCACAACATGTTCATTCAAGTGCATGGTTCTAATCTATATTCACTATAAATTAAGTTAATAGAAAATGTTTCTGTAGTATTTTATTCATGTGGATAAACTGACTGAAATAATGCAAAACAGCATTATAAATCAAAAACTAATCTTTCTCTGTTATTATAATATGTTATGTTCAATATGTTAAACTGGTTTGCTGGTGTTCGGGTTTGACTTTGTATGAGAAAACACATTTCATATATTTAAAATACTAACCAACATCTCTTCCAGCAAGCACTTGTCATAACTGATTAACTCTCGCATGCATGTTAGAGCAAAATAATCTGATTTGCGAACGACAGGAAAATAGGGTTAAAATTTACACAGGTTGGCTTTAGGACCCAGAGAACGACAGAACTGAAAAGAGTCACATGACTGTCATGTTCAAAGAGAAGAAACACTGCAAATCTATTGAAGAGAGAAGTGCTTTATGCAAGATGAGAGAACGGAAAAGTCTGAGCAGTTTTAGCAATATTTCTTGACACATTACCGTCACCATAATGTCAAACGGAACATCGTTACTGCGTCTGATCCGTTTGATTTAGAGATGAAGTCACTCAATACTTTCGTTTTAATAAGTTTGTGCCTTTTGACAATAAGCTCTGTGTTGGTAAGTATCTGATTCAAATTACCCATCCTATTGTTTTAAAGCAACTGGAGAGATTTTGAAATGTGTAATCGCTTATAGAAAACCCCAAAAAAGTTTGAAATGTCAACATCGTGTCAGGTTCATCAAATAAGATATACTGTTTGTACTCAGAAACATACTTAAAATATTTATTTATGCTTATAAAAAAGTCTAACTGAATGTTCTTTGTAGTTAGAGTAGGCATGATATGTATAAGATTCTGACGATATGATATTGGTTAAAAATTTCACTGTTTCACGGTATTGTAATTACTGCTCTACAATATGTTTTTATTTTTTATTGTCTAGGTAAAAAAAATTCCCTCATTAAACACAGTATACTTTATTTTAAGAAGCATCAAAAGTATTTTGGAACAGCAAACATGTCATTAACAGTAAATGTGCGCCGTATTTTTAATTTGCTTTAAATCAAGATGTACTCGTGAAACATGACCAATCACAGAAAGGTTTATTTTTTTCTGCCTGGAAAAAAAACACAAATGCAAGAAGCTTGTAGCTACATGGTGTGTGCAAATGCTCTTATGTTTCTAAAAATATTTTATATTCTTGGTTTAAATAATAAAAATAAATACAGCAAGTAAATAAAACTAAATTTGTGTGTGCGCATCAATTAACGTTGTGCAGTTAAAAGGCTAAAAAAAACTAAATGAAGTAGTTTTGAAAAAAAAATTCTTACATATTCCATAGGACTGCTATGACAGAAAATGTTGGCGGTTTTAAAACCTTGACTTTTCCAAACCGCGATAAACCTTAAAACCGGTTATCATCCCCTGCCTAGTGTAGAGTATTTTAGTATTTTACTTGCATTATAAGTTTACACTTAACAATAACAGAACATGAATAATGATGTGTTAATATGTAAACTTAACATCACTTTATTATGAATTAATGATGAGTTAAGGCATGCGGTAATCATTGTACTAACCTTAACTACAACATGAGTCACATGACTTTATGTGTGAATAACGGCTACTTTAATTACTAATTAGTACATGATTGTGTGTAAATTGATGTATTCATTACCACATTAGTTTGTGCTTAATTCAACCATCATGAACTCATGATATGTTAATGTATAATTATATCATGACTTTACTTGGAGGGGCGTATCATGAAGCCATTCTTAACTACTCATGAACTCCTTATACACGTCTGTCTTGTGTGTTTACACTAAATAGCAACAGAAAAGTGTTCTGTCATCATCAACATAAACGGTTTAAACACAGGAGTTCATCAGGATGAGTTAATGGTGATGTGCCCCTCCAAGTAAAGTCATGACATAATTTTACATTAACAGCTCATGAGTTCATGGTTACATTTAGCTTAAACTTAAATGTTAATTAATACATTAATTAACAGCATGTACTAACAAGTAATTAAGGTAGCCGTAACTCACACTTGAACTCATGTGTGACTCATGTTGTAGTTAACGTTAGCTCATGATTAGTGCATGCCGTAACTCATAATTAATTCATAATAAAGTAATGTTTAGTTTACATATTAACACATTATTATTTCATGTTCTGTTATTGTAAAGTGCAACCCATTACAAAAATAAATATATAAATGATAATCTATAAGAACAATGTGGATTTCACTTAAAGAAAACAAACAAGTTTAATTAGTGAATTAAAAGTTAATTAAAAAAATAATAATTTAATTCTACTAGTAAACTATGCCTAGAAGTTCACCTGTAGTGATAGTACACGTACTTCCCCGAGACGTCTAATTGATGCTTGTGTTTACATCTGGAACACGTATTTATTAGCGCATTTGCTCGTCTGCAATCTTTCATACGTTAAACAGACATTTAGAAAATGTCTTTAAGATGTTTGATGTTTAGAATGTTTGCACAACAGACCTTTTTAATACCTTTAAAGAGATTTCAAAGACCAATCGATCTCTAAAATACATCTTGCAGCCATACAAAGATCTATTTAGAAAGTCTACACTTATATTTTTGTACTTTAGTTTGAAGTTACATTGAAATCCACTTACATCAGTGTTTCTCAACCATGTTGCTTGAGGACCACCAGCTCTGCACATTTGCCATGTCTCCTTAACCAAATACACCTGATTCAGATTATCAGCAGAGACAGAAAGACCTGTTTTTGGTGTGACAGGCAAAGGTGACATCCAAATACGTGCAGTGTTGGTGTTCCTGCAGGAACATGGTTGAGAAACACTGACCTACATGACTATTAGTACATTAATATTAGTATAATGACAAAGTTTTAAGTAGTCAAAGTTTTTTTGTAATTGAAGTATGCTTAAAATATTTCAATATTTTTTGTGAGAAGTAGATTCTTTCCGGCACTCTGCAGTTTTTTAACTTGCAAATTTGTTCTGTTTTTAGGCAGATTTGCGCTCATTTTCCATCGACTACAAGAACAACTGCTTCCGAAAGGATGGAAAGCCATTTCAGTACATCTCTGGAAGCATCCACTACTCGCGTATCCCTCGGGAATATTGGCAGGACAGGCTGCTCAAGATGTACATGACTGGACTCAATGCTATTCAGGTGTACGTGAAACAAACACTACATACTGAACACAGTCACGTTACACACCTTGCTAAAATCTTTGGTTTGTTTACTTGCAGGTATGTGCCGTGGAACTTCCATGAGACTGTCCAAGGTGTGTACAACTTTGCAGGAGACAGAGACCTTGAGTACTTCTTGAACTTGGCCAATCAGACCGGGCTGTTAGTCATCCTGCGACCAGGGCCGTACATCTGCGCAGAATGGGAAATGGTAACTGCTACTTCCCTATGTTGCTAAATTTGAGATGCTGTCATGCATTTCTGAATGTACTTGCGGGAATGATTTTCCAGGAAGTGTAATTTTAAAAGAATATATCATGCAAAAATGATGGGTTTTTGGTACTTTCCACCATAGAACACAAAATGAGATGTTTAGCATAATGTTCATGCTGCTCTGATGTACAGTAAAAGTGATGATTTACCAAAAATAATGACATTATAGCATTATAAATGTTGCTTATACATTTTGTTGCATAAATATGAGTTTCCTGAAGTAATACAATACGTTTGTCAAAAGAAAAAAGTAAATATACATCAAATAATTCAATAAAAAAAAGCATTTCGTTTTTTTTTTTTGTTTTTTTTTCAGAAAAAAGCTTGTGTGCAAGTTTTTTTTTGTTGCTTTTTTTATGAATTTGTTAGTATTATGTTAAAGGGATAGTTCACTAAAAATAAATATGCTGTTATTCCATAGTATTTGTTTTTAATACTTCCGATGATTAATGTTACCTACATTCTTCAAAATATCTTATTTTGTGTTCAAAAGAAAAAACAAACAAACATTAAATGATGATAATAGAATTTAAATTTTTGGGTGAACTATTCCTTTAAATAGGTGGTCCACAGTGTATTTTTAAGGCTTGGTTGTGTTTATAAGATGCAAAGCAATGTGTGCTCATGCTTTACTTGTACAAAATCATGTTATTTTTCATATATTTTACTTAGATTATATACAGCTACTCAGCTAACATAAAAACAACTGTCATATTTCCTATTTCCTCTGAAAGGCCCACTCTCTAGGGGCTCTGATTGGTCAGCTAACATAATGTGCTGTGATTCACGGATTGGCTCCGCATCACCTTGTCATTTCCCTACAAGCATGCACGTTAGCGATGTGTAAACAGAGAAGCTGTTAGCTGCCTGAATCAGACAGAAAAGGAAGAGCCTGAGCACACCTCACATCTACTCTCTAAAATAAAATTTGAAAAGTGTCTTTCACATATATTTAGAATAAGCATGTGTAAGTAATAAGAAATGTTCACATATCTTTAGCGAGTTTATTATTTTAGATATAGAACACAGGGGAAAGTGTCCGCATCCATTCCAGCGCTGCTGAAGATTGTGGGTGTTTACAGCGGTTTGAAGGATAAATATGAATTTGTAGCTAAATTGTTAGCGGTGCCAAACAGTATTTCCTATTGTTTACATCCTTGCTACAACATACCATTAATGCTAGACATTATGCATGTAATTGATCAATTTTAACAAATAAAAATACCTACAGGTTGTGGCTAACAATCCACAGCTTCTTCTATTTTGGTTGAACTGTCTCCCCTTTTAGGAGTTTTTACCCAAATGCAGCACTGAACTGAGAGATTGTGGAAGCTGTCCTTTGTCAAAGGCTAGCTATATTTTTATTATAATTTTCTGGAAAATAATTAAAATTAAATTGTAAACACTTCTCACTTTGTGTCGTGTCCTTTGGAAGCCCAAATACAGAAACAGAAGAAGCACTGTGGAAATAGAAGCATTTGGACACCACTTTAGCTTTCTCTTCTATAACAATACAACACCTCTGGCCACGCCTCGTTGCTGCACAGGATGTGTGTACGTTGTGAATACGTGTAACCTGAAGCATTTATGATCTCATTAACCCGGATGTATCTTTTTGTAGTCTCCAAAGTTTGTTCGCTGTAGACTTGGCTAAGCTAACTATGTAAAAGCCAATGTCTGCCTTTGCATTGAACTTTGAGCATATTACATTTAGAGATGTTGTTTATGTTCACACAGCTACATAACACATTAACTAAAGTTTAAAATATAATATCGTAGTGGACCACCCCTTTAATAAAAAAAATAATAAACAAATACAAATATTATATGAATATGCTAAGGCTAGCCATAAGCTAGTATGCTTTAAAACAAGGACAACATGTAGAAAATAAAAGCATTCATTGAACCTTACTCAGTCTCTGACTTTCACCAAAATGGCACCGTGATTTTGATGACATCACTCTTTCCCTAAGTTTCTGGTCAGATGACTGAACAGTTTTATTTCTGTATCTATTAATTAAACAAGGATGAAATGATTCGTAATATTGGTATGCATTTGTTCTGGTCACAACACAAAAGACGGGTGCGTGATTGCTATTTTGTGAGCTGTAAAATTGTTAGTTTTTATCTATCCTCTAGGGTGGTTTGCCTGCCTGGTTGCTGCAAAAGCCCAATATTATCCTGCGTTCGGCAGACAAAGGTATATGTTATTTCTGAATAAGACATGACCTCACATGGGCTCAGGTCTGTCTTTAATAGTGTATACTTACTTTTTTTTTTTCAGAGTATTTACAGGCAGCAAGCGACTGGTTGGCGGTGTTGCTTGCCAAGATGAGACCGTGGCTGTATCAGAATGGAGGAAATATTATCAGTGTGCAGGTACAGAGTTAGCATGTGTGTGTTAAACAATTACAGTGTCTGTTTTACCACTGGGCATATGGTACTTAACTTCTAGAGTTATCAATATTGATTGTTAAAATCCCATTATCAGTATTTTAGTCTATGCTCTTTAAGTTGATCATGAATAAAACCTGACTAGACATTATATAGTGCGCCTTATATCAAGTATTCTATCCATTTTTAGCAGGTGATTTAATTAGTAAATAGCTCAAAGGTTCAATGGAGAAGTTAATTTTAGATTAGAACATTTCTTTAATTGTTTGCTAGATATTAGCCTTCATGTTTAATATTTTACTTAACCCCTTAGTGAGTTTTTATTATTATTATTATAATGCAAAGAGATACACAAATTATATGACATGAAATCAAATACAAATGGAAAAGAGAGAAAAACAAATAACAGAAAAAAAGTGTGTGCGCGCATGTAAAGGTAACTGGGTGGACAGGTCAAAGTATATAAACAAGAGAACATAAACAACATGCATAACAGAAGAAAGCATATCCTTATAGATAAATATAGATAAATGCCATCAAAAAATGAAGCAAGAATAAAATAGATCAGGGGTCACCAACCTCGTTCCTGAAAGTCCGGTGCCCTGCAGGGTTTAGTTCCAACTTGCCTCAACACACCTGCCTGGCTGTTTCAAGTACACCTAGTAAGAGCTTAATTAGCTTGTTCAGATGTGTTTGATTAGGGTTGGAGCTAAAATCTGCAGGACACCGGCCCTCCAGGAACAAGTATGGCGATCCCTGATATAAATAAAAATAGAACATGGATGGATGGATGGATGGATGGATGGATGGATGGATGGATGGATGGATAGAATAAAATAAAATAATGAAACAAAGCCAATCAGTGGTGTAGAATAAGGTAGTGGATCAATAATAATGTTAATACAGTGGGGAAAATAAGTATTGAACATATTACCGTTGACTTTTAATTTTCCCTAGATGTTGATAACAACCAAACAACACCACATATACAAAGAACAAAACTAATTCGTTTACAAATGAAGTTATGCGTAATAAAATGAAATAACACAGGGAAAAAAGTATTGAACACATGAAGAAAGGGAGGTGTAGAAAGGCAGTAAAACCCCTGACAGCAGCTGAAATCTCTCAGTAGTTATTCAGCAATCCTCCGCTCTTCCTCATTGTATATGCATATTAGCTACTTGAGTCCAACATCTACATTATCAGGATGATGAAGATGAAACCAGGGTGGAGATTTCAGCAAGACAATGATCCCAAACAGCCAAGATCACTCTCAAATGCTTTCAAAGAAAGAAAATCAAGCTGTAGAATGGCCCAACCAATCACCTGATCAGAATCCAATAGAATATACAAATTAAAGATCAGATTTGGTAGATGAGACCAACAGAACCCTCAAGATTTTCACACTCTGCTGAAGTCTGTGAGAAACCTGAGCAGTTCATGTGACTTCATTCTCTATATAAGAGTCATCTTTAAACTGCCATCACCAAAAAAGCCTTTTATATAAAGAGTTAAATACGTTTCAGTAGTTCTGTACTTTTTCCTTAGGGTTGTTAATACACAGAACTTAATTTTTAGGGTTTTTTAGTTTTGTTTTATGTTTGCATTGTTTGGGGTTTTAACAAAATCTGGTTCAATTCCATGCCAACAGCTCCTTTTAAAATATTATTCCCAGGAAAACACATGACGTGTTCCCGCTGTATATGTATGAATCAACAAATAAATATCAATGTTTTACATTTTAATACTTTAATTTACATAGTTAAAGGTAATTATGTGCTGCTGCGCATCTTTGTTTGTATGTGCATCCCTGAAACATTGACTTTAGACCAGCTTTTTGTTGGTCAATGGTGCATTTCATTTCAGTTGTCACAAAATAGCAACACACCAACAATACACCTTAACACACCTCTACATTACACACTGTATAAAAGGGAATGTGAAATGTAGCATCGAGTGGTTGTAAAAGGTCTGCTAAATTTACAAGATAAAAAGTACTAAAAAATAGAAAATTAATTTTTTTCTTTAAAAATAAGTTTAATTAATTCTGAACTGCTGAAATGAGTTAATTTTTATTTTGGGTTTAGGTTAATCAACTAGTTGTTCTCATGTTATATCATCAGCCACAAGCTTGAATTCACCTAGTAAAATTCTTGTCTTCAGGGTTGTCCAAACTTGGTCCTGGAGGGCCGCTGTCCTGGAGTTCAGCTCCAACCATAATCAAACACACCTGAACCAGTTAATCAAGCTCTTACTAGATATACTAGAAACTTCCTGGCAGGTGTGTTGAGGCAAGTTGGAGCTTAGGTCAGCAAAACACCGGGCTTCCAGGATTGAGTTTGGACATCGCTGGGGTCCGTTCTTTGCACGTGTAATACTCAATTAGCTGGATTTAGTTATTGACGATTTGACACGATCCAAGATTGTTTCGTTCTTAAAAACTCATTCAAGAGTTGTTGTCATAGCAACAGTTCTGGTAGATCAGCCTGTTGGGGAGCAGGCTAATTTCATATAAACAGAATTCGATTGGGACTTTTTAATCTAAGGTAGCATTGAACAAAATACTGCTATGTTAAATGTTTTCTAGTTGCATCAAATGGACTTTTTCAGTCATCTCAACTTACATCAATCAAACTGACTAAAAATATTACGTTCAACTTTGTGTAACTTAAAAAAAAAAGTGGGGCTACCCCCACTTTAAAAACCACTTGTGAAGATCATTATATTTCAACTCCAAATCTCAAGCAAATTTGCATACAATTATTCATTTGAGGGTTGATTATTCTACCTAAAAATAAACAGCAGTTGAATTGATTAGTTTGAGCTGTGTTATTAGTCTTTTATAAGCTCAGTCAGACTTATTATTTTTAGTTAAATTTTAAATATTTTTTAATTTATTTTGTTACAACCCTGGTCTAGGGTAAAAGACGTAACAATAAAAAAAACACTTAACAAATAAAATAACTTGTATGGACCCGCAAAGTCTGCTCTGTTTATTTGTTTCTTTTTCTTTCTTTTTTTTAAACACCCAAAATGTGACGCCGAATAACTCAGTGAGAAGCCAAAAAAAAAAAAAAAAACTATTTTAAACTTGTATAAAAAGATACACTACCTAAACACCCACAATAAAACTAACTACACCTTACAAAGAAAATAACAGAAATAAAAATACAATACTACACCTCACTTCCTACCTATAAATAAAAACAGGAGAAAATATTTACAATAAAGAAAAGTGTGGAATCCAACCCCTACTGCTTTAAACTGTGTATATATAATATTTTTACAGTGACAACAAACAAAGCCAAAACAAAGATTACAGGGGGGGGATAACAAGAAAAACAAATTTACACACAACAAAGAAAGGTACAGAGCTACAATTGGTACATTAAATATCTGTTTATTTAGAAAGTTGTTGTTTTTTTCTTCTGGATGAACCCTAGTGACAATGTTGACTGCTGGTTTAGACCTTCTGTCATTCTGTTACCAGCTGAGATACTTAACCACTAAGCTTCTCCACCCGAAGAGAAAAATATCCAAATAATATTTACTGCCCATGCAATTGTACTTATTACAGTAACTGATGCTCATGTATTGTAGGACTGAGGGTATGTACATAATAATTATGTTTGGTGTTACCACTATAAAAGTACTATAAACAGTGTCTTATGCTATATTGACATGTTTTTCTTTTTTATGAATGAGGTGGAAAACGAATATGGCAGTTACTTCGCTTGTGATTATAACTACATGCGGCACCTCCACACTCTGTTCCGCTTGTTTCTGGGAGAAGACGTCATTCTCTTTACTACAGACGGAAACACGGATAAAGAGATGAGCTGCGGCACGCTTGAGGGCCTTTATGCCACTATAGACTTTGGCACAGGTAAAAAAATAAATAATAATAATTTGACGTTGACATTTGCAGCACTTTTAAGACATTTACAGTAACTAGTTTGTTTTTGTTTATTTGACGATTGTATATACTGTAATAGCATAAACAAGAATTTCAGTTCTAAGTTAGTTTGAAAAGATAATTAGATACTTTTAGGGGCAACCTTTTTTTTAATAAATTGTCTTTACACAACAACTAATTATTTGCCTTAAACGAATCCAAAAAAAATCCATAGACAACTATTTGCTTTAAAAATTATTGTTTAGTTAAAAGTGAGGATAAAAAAAAACAATTAATAGTAATGCATTTTAGCCAACAATAAATATATAGGTGAACTACAAGAAGAAAAAAAAATAATAATAAATAAATAAATAATAAATAAATAAATAATATATATATATATATATATATATATATATATATATATATATATATATATATATATATATATATATATATATATATATAATATAGTTTAAAAACTGTATAAAAAACAATAAATTAATAAAAATACATTAAGTAATAATGAATTTATAGGTGAAATACAAGGGTTTAAAATGTGATATTTAGTTAAAAACAATGTGTATAAAAATACAATTAATTATTAACCACAGGTTTATTATAATATTTAGGTCAAAGACAAAGTTTCATCAAAATCAACATCAAAAGTGAAAAGAAAAAAAAAAGTGAAATGTTATTCCATGTATTCAAATGTGTCATGACATCATCTTTTAAAGTTTTACTGTTTGACATCTTTTTAGAGTTTTTGCACCTGTTATCAGTACTTTAACACAAATCAATCATTTTTTTTATTTTAATTTCTGACAAGTACCAAAGAAGGTCTGCACTCAATAATTTAAATAAATCCTAGGAGAAAAGAAATCAAACATTTGGGTTGTGTGCCGCCTTCTTTGTAATCTTAATCTCTCTAAAAAAAATAAATAAATAAATAAATAAATAAATAATAATACACTTATAAAAAAAATAATAATAAAAAAAAATCACACAAAGTCCAAATGGAAACTATTCAAGCTTTTTTTCCCCCTTCAGACACAAATATCACTACAGCCTTCATCCGACAAAGGAGATTTGAGCCTAAAGGCCCACTAGTGAGTACGAAAGAGAAAATTTATGCAGTACATTAACTGTCTGTCTGTCATTCAGCAGCAGTAATTCATGTCTTCATTTCAGGTGAATTCAGAGTTCTACACAGGCTGGTTGGATCACTGGGGAGACAAACATGCTTCTGTGGACACTAACAAAGTGAGCAAAATGCTGGGAGAGATGTTATCCATGGGCGCCAGTGTCAACATGTAAGACACTTTTGCAAAAGAATACTTGAAATATATTTGTGTGTGTACTTAAAGGGATAGTTCACCCCAAATGAAAAGTTCCTCACTATTAACTCCCCCTTAAACACAAAAGATGATCATTTGAATAAAGATGAAAACCTGTAACCACTGCATTCCATGGTATTAAAAACAAATACTATAGAAGTCAAAGGTTACAGGTTTCCAACTTTTTTTTTCAAAATATCTTCTTTTGTGTTTAAGAGAAGAAAGAAACTTATACAGGATTGAAGTAATTGATGACAGAAATGTCATTTTTGGGTGAACTATCCCTTTAACATGCATTTTCTTAAGTTCAGTTTTAATACATCATGATATGTGGTATTTACACTAAGTTTTTTGTCTATTTACAGGTACATGTTTGAGGGAGGAACAAACTTCGGCTACTGGAATGGTACTGTATATCTGCTATCTCAGTGAACATTTTCATGTGGTAACGCAGTCATTGTAATGTGTGTATGTAATGTTTGTCGTTCACAGGAGCAGATCATGATACCAGATTTCGGTCTGTGGTCACCAGTTATGATTACAACGCACCTCTAACAGAGGCAGGAGACCCCACTGATAAACTGCTAGCCATCAGAGATGTCATTAAGAATGTAAGAAAACCTACATTACAGTCTGAATGTCAGATCAGAATCCAAAAGAGCTGTAGGGCTGGGCTGATAAAATGGTATCGGTATTGACCCAACACCATTGTCAGTTTGATATGAAGTTTCAGTATGAAGCGTGATAGTTTTATTAAAATGTGTTTGCTGAGCACGAGCCTTGGAAAGAAATGCAGATAAGCTTGGGGTTATTTCCAATCGAGGCGCACCGATTACAGGCACAAATAAGAAGGGAGGCGCACATGGTGTGCAAGGGGCCTGCACGTGACATGCTCGCATTCAGGTGCACAGAGTTAAAAACATCTTAACTTTCCAGAATGCAGAACAATTCGTTTGAGTAGAACTAACCAATCTGTTTCACACTTTGTACGGAATATACACATTTCAGTAATGACATCAGACAAACACAGAGCACTCAAACACTGCAGTGCTTTTAAATTTTCTCCATAAATAAAACTTGTACCCACAATAGGAATTTGTATCCACAGTGTAACAAAATGACGGTGACGGGGAAAAAACACAGATAATAAAAGAGTTAAAAATAATTAAATAGAGAATACAATATACAAACTGGCCAATGTATGGACAGGTATATTACTACATACACCATTGTATATACAGAATATAAAACAATTTGTCTGTGGTGAAAATAATTGCAGAAAGGTAACACTTTATAATAAGTACACACTATGAATCAATTATTAAACATTAGCAAATAGTGAATTCATTATCTGTTAAGCATTAACTCTACATTATTAAACGTTAGTAAGCAGTTTAAAACTGCAGCTACAAGTGCTGTAATCTTGACTTATGATTTATTTTTCATAACTAAAATTAAGTATTATTTACAAATCAGTTATTCAAGCATTGTTTGTTGGTTTTTTAGAATCATTCAGAGTTAGTAGACTAGTTAGTAAATGATTAAAAAACTAGTCAAATTAACATTTATCATTTTTATTATTCAAGCATATATTAATAGTTAATTTGTATGTTAATAAATGCTTTATTAACTCAACTTCATGCCGTTTTGTGACCTAATCTAAAGTGAGGACTATTCATGCTTTATAAATCCCTTATAAATGACAATTAAAGGTTCAGTTATATTCCAAACAAGAAAAAAAATAACATAAACAACATTCTTCATTTCTTTTCATTTGAAGATGCACAATTAAAACCATGTCAAATGAAAAACAAATCTTTGCAATCTTGTCTAAAATAAAAACATTTTAAACAAAAAAAGTTTAAACATTGCATCTTATTATATTGTTAGATTGTTATATTGTTGTTGTTTTTTTCTGATTTTATGTCTTATTTTGACACTCTTGTCATTCAGCAATGTTTAAACTTTACAGTAATTTTACTTTTTAGATACGATTGCAAAGATTATTGTTAATTTGATACCAAGCCTTTCATTGTGATTTAGAAGGGATTTATAAAGCATTAATAGTCCTCACTTTAGATTAGGTCACAAAACTGCATAAAGTTGAGTTAATAAAGCATTTATTAACATTAATAGTAACCATTACTATATGCCTGAATATTAAGATATTCAGGTGTTAATTTCAGTAGTTTATTAATCATTAACTAACTCATTCTAAATGATCTTATAAACCACCAACTATTCTTAAATACAAATGGTTTGTTAATAATACTACAATTTTAAGCACTTTAGAAATGTGGTTATAAGTCAAGAATACAGCATTTGTAGCTGCAGTTATAAACCGCTTACTAACGTTTATTAATGTAGAGTTAATGCTAAACAGATAATGAATTCAATAGATGCTAATGCTTAATAAATGATTAATAGTGTGTAGTTATTATAGAGTGTTACCAAATAACTAAAGACGAGACAAACTAACAAAAATACAAAACCATAACTGGAGCATGCCACTGATGCAGCCATCGTCGGCACCGACTTGGATCTATCTATGAAAACAATGTCAAAAATTATAGAGAAAAAATTATTTAATAGGGTAATGTTTTTGAAAGAAGCCCCTTTTAAATAATACAAATAAAAAAAAAGCAAATGTTTAAATATAATAATAACTGACTTTACCAGTTCTATAAACCATTTAAATTCTGCCACCATTTAATAAAGCTCCACTTATTTGAGTTTCTTGTTCTCTGTTAAACACATATGCTAAATATTCTGAAGAATGTTGGAAAGTAGCAGCCATTGAAACTTCCGTAGTCTTCTTTTGTTCTATGAATGTCATTGGCTGCTTTTTTCCTGGATTGTTCAGAATATCTTCATGTAGTTTTATCTTTTATATCTTGATTTACACAGAACAAAATATAACACTTAAGTTCATCCGCTTGAATGTGAGTAAATAGTGAGGAAACTTTCATTTTTGAATGAACTATCCCTTTAATCCATGATAAAAAAATAAGATTTCATTGAACCTAATCTCTTGATCATGGGTGTATATTTTCCAGGAATAAAGGAATTTAGTTATTATGCTGATGTACACTGCCAGTTTGGATACATTAAGATTTTTTAAATGTTATTGAATCAAACCAGACATATGTTTGTTTTCAGTTTCGAGATATTCCAGTTGGTCCAATGCCACCAGCCACCCCAAAACTTGCATATGGCTTCGTTACACTTCACAAGGTACTTATATTTCACATAGCAAATCATGCTCAATTTGCACTATTTATTTTTTACCCATTGAATCTGTCTTTCTCTGTCCATATGCACTTTCAGGTTGGCAACATTAGCAGCTTGCTGGATACGCTATCACCTCAAGGTCCAGTACGATCTCAATACCCCTTGACATTTGAGGAGATTAAACAAGTTAGTATATTTAAAATGAGCGTAATTGAAGAGTTCCGATGCAAAAACCTCTAAACGCCGTCTAAAATGGTCTTCTAAAATGAGTATTTTTATCAGGCTTATGCGTGTAGGTTCAGTCATTTCCATTTTATGCCAAAAAATAAGTTATTTAAAGGGTATTTAAAGTGAAATAAGTCTACATAATCATAGGCACTTTTGCATCTGAACTCTTCAATTGGTAATCATGTGTTGTGTGTCTGCTTGTTAAGTCTGATAGCACAGTTTCCGGGTCTAAGCGCTCTTTCAGATGCCATAAGCAAACAACAAATGCTGTTAATATATGCTCACAGTGTGTTGTAATAGTAAAAATCATAATGGTAATGTTTATAGCCATGCCTGATCTCAGATGGTTAGACAGTGATTCATTTTTTATAAGTGGTTCAAATATAGCTGTCTGGAATGCAGCAAGTCCAGAGACTAGATTGTGTGAAATTAACCAAACCTTGGTCATAAATGGTTATTCAGGGGGTTTTCTTGAACTTGGACCTAGACCCATTTTTCTAAACAGCACTACTTAACAAGTATTGGTGTAATAACTGGTGTTATGTCAACTGTGTGCAGTACTATGGCTTCCTGCTATACCGAACGACTCTGCCGCGGAATGTTCCCGAGCCGACCCCTCTCATCTCGCCCCTCAATGGCATCCATGATCGCGCATACGTCTCTGTGAATGGGGTAAGCAGACCACTTGTTCGGGTCACGCCAACACAAATGTTTTTGTTCTCACCATGGTAGTCAGACACTACAACAGTGGGTTAGGAGCTTAGATGTGTACACCTTCTATGCACTGGCTCCCACACTCTGAAACTGAATTAAAGTGTGTTTAACATGAGATTAAAAAGAACAAGAGACAAAGATGTTTTGAGTAGCAGTGTTTAAGAAGCTAATTTCATTCATCCAGGTCAGTAGGTGCCAGTAAAGAGATTACTTTGGCATATTAAACTAATGGTACTATAGTGCTGTTTATGCTAGTGCGTTTTTTTAGTTGTAAAACTGCCCTCGTCCAGACTGGCATTTAAATTAACTTTCAGAAAAACAATCTCTGTTCACATTATACATACGAAATTGCATAATATGTGATTATGCACACTCACTGGGAATGAATGTATGTTGCTGTTGTTGTGTATTATATGAGAGGAGCTTGACGAACCAGGGAATGATAGGCTAAGGCTGGGCGATTTGTCCTAATCAAAATGTCGATTAAATGAACATTTAATCTAGATTATGATTCATGAACGATTGTTTTATTTATTTATTGTATTTTTTTGGCCTTAGTTCACTGACAAGTTTTTTTTTTACCATAAATATGTTCTCATATTACAAGTGGGAAATTTTTTAATAAAGGATCCATTACTTGATATTAAAATTATTGAAGGAAACACGCACTATACGAAATATAAATTATGGCATCTCAAGGCATTTCTGGCACAGCTTCCAATCATTGTCAATGTAGTGCAAGCATGCGATGTGTAGTTCAATTTGTGCACAGGTATACGAGCTTGAAGGCTGCGCTGACCATACCCATGCGTTCGAAGCAGAAGTATAAATTAGCCTTAACAGAGCGGGGTCACATGACTCCACACACTGAAAGAAAAGTCATTGAAAAAATTGATTGATTATAGGTTCTAAATGTCAATTTCGATTACTTTTAGATTAATCACCCAGCCTTGTGATACACAATAATCCAGAAGGTCAATCACAAAGCAACTGTGGATAGTCACGTTTCTCAGTTCATCTACAGTGAAACAGAACACCACAATTTCCTAAATAAAATTAGGTTTTTGGTGTTTTTAAAGGTCTAAAGTGCCACATAACTGTTAAAAACATGTGTTTAAGTAGCAGCATTTAAGAAGCTACTTTCATTCACACAGGCCAGTGGGTGCCAGTAAAGAGATTACTGTGGCAAATTAAACTAATGGTACTTTAGTGCTATTTAAGCTAGTGTTACTTTAAAACAACATCTTACAATAAAACAGGCTTTTGTTTCAAGTGGCATTTTTATTACATTTCTAAAAAAAACTATCTCTGTGTTTTAAACACAAATGCACAAGTGTAAACGCAAACCCAAAAATGATTAGGGCTGCATCCAAAAGGAAAAAAAATACTAAATTTCCATACTTCTCTACTAAATAGTAGGAGATAACAGATTCTGATCGCAAGTGTAAAAGTACCTTAACATCTGCCAAAATTCTGGAATATGCAAACGATGGCCTCTTTACTGTCTGGTAAGGTCACTGGAGGCAATAATAAGTAAAAAATCAAGTTAATGTGTGTCAGGAAATGCTGGTTTGCACACATTGGTCTAGATCTGCTAAGAGCAATGTCCTGACTTAATACACATTAAACATTGGCATCTGAGGATATGCCCCAAATCTGATCAAATTGTACCCATAAGGGGCAACAACTTAAAAACACGTTAGAATTCAGCTACTGTTTGATTCTAAAGCTGAAAAACAGGTTTACATGCTAATGTGTTACACAAATAACACAAATCAACAAGCATCTGAATAACTTAATGTCATCATTTCCTATTTTTAAAAAAGTTGACAAGTTTTGAAATGTATTTTCACAAGCTTTTTCATCAAACCTTAACAAGCAGTGTAGATTTCAGACTGTAGATTTTGCAGTGTAAACACATATTGAATTCATCTTGATTTCTATAGCGCTTTTACCATGCAGATAGTGTCAAAGCAGCTTAATATAGAAGTTCTAGTAAATTGAAATTGTGTCAGTCCACATAATATACATAATATCTGGATACACTTCAACTGCATCATCTATTTTTATAGATGCGTTACAGGCACTTTTTTTTTTTAGAAACTACAGTTGAGAGAGCACCTACCAAATTCTCAGTAATTTTTTTCACTAAATGGACTCGTCATCGTGTTTTATTATGTGCATTCATACTTGTACAAGACTTGCAAATATGTTTGGTTAGCTAATTTCAGTTTAATGGCTTATTTGAGCCTATAGGTCTATGCTGAACCATTACATGAACCATGATTTAGTTTGAAAGACTTAATATTTAGATTGAATATATTTTGAAACCAGGCATGTCTATGTGAGCAGGTATACCAGGGGCTGATGGAGCGGGACACTGGACTGGTGATGAACATTACCGGGCGCCAGGGGGATCAGTTGGACATACTTGTCGAGAACATGGGCAGGGTTAATTTTGGCAGTTACATCAATGATAACAAGGCAAGCTGTACTAAATATGCTGAAGTTAAATATAGTTTAAAACCATCTGAAAAAAATGACATGTCTTGAAAAACAAATCCTGTCTTTTGTCTTATGTATTTTTAAGGGTCTCTTGGGTAACTTGATTTTGGGAAATGATGTGCTTTCCGATTGGTCTGTCTACCCATTGGATATCGACACTGCGGTAGCCAATGGCTGGCTGCAGTCTGCTCATTCTGGGCTGTTGACAGAAGCAGGAGATGGACCAATCTTTTACTCAGGAACCCTGAAGCCTACAGGCCGCGCATGGGACACTTTTGTAAAACTTAATGGATGGACTAAGGTGAGGCTCATTATTTGTATTGATATTAACACCCCCCAACTGTGGTGTTTAATTAGCATTCAGATTTTTAGAGCTCACAGAGCAAAAGATGGATTAACACACAATGTTTTTGGCTGTGTAACTTTTGTAACGTTACTTAGGAATAATCTATTTATACAATCTTATAAATGTTGAAAAAGAAAAAAACATGGTAGTGTTTCCATTAGCTAGTGTTATGAGGCTAAAAGTATCCAATGGAGTCAATTTCTACAAATTAATGCAAGCCTTTTAGGCAGTGATCATGTGACTTACGAAATTTCCATTCCAAAAAAACTGTTTGGTGAAATATTTTAGGTTGAATTGATTAAAAACCACCTCATGTGTGCATAAAAACTTTGTTTGCGATACATGGGAGCTTGCAATGTTTCCATTTGGCTCATTTCAATTATAATTTGAAGAGTAATGGAAACATAGCTAGAAGCTGGTGAGCAAAAGAAGTTAAATGTTACAAATATATGTCACCCTGGAACACAAATCCAGTCATAAGTGTCTTTTTTTAATTGAGATTTATACATAATTGCATAAAATAGCATGGTTTGTTAGGATAGGACAATATTTGGCTGAGATACCACTATCTGAAAATCAGGAATCTGAGGGTTTATAAATAACGTTTAAATTTTTACAAATTTAGTTTTTAGCAATGTATATTACTAATCAAAAATTAAGTTTTGATATACAGTAGTATACAAATTTTTTTCTTGAAACATCTTGCTCCTAAATCTACAGTATATCCTAAAGATTTTTGGCATTAAAAGAAAAAAATAATTATAATTGTCCAATATAATGACGTTTATCTATTGCCAAAAATATACTCATGCAACATACTGTAAGACTGGTTTTGTGGTCCATGGTCACGTGTAATACCTATTATTTTTCAGGACTTGGATAACTAACATGCAAGATTTATATAACTTTTTTTTCAGGGTCAGGTGTGGGTAAACGGGTTCAACTTGGGGCGGTATTGGCCCAAGCGAGGCCCTCAACAGACACTGTATGTGCCTGGACCTTTTCTCAGTGCCAATCAGCTAAACAACATCACAGTGCTGGAGCTGGAAAGAGCTCCACCACACTGCAGAATCCTGTTCATGGACCGACCTCAGCTGGACAACACAGGAAACAAGACATGACAACTTCACGAAAAAAAAAAGAAAAAAAAAACATTTGAACAGCTTCAACTTCTCTGCTCAAATCAGTCAAGCCTTACATAGAAAAACAGTGATAACAATATTACTCCAATCAGTTTGATTTGAATTTACAAAACATTTATTGCACAAAACGGTTAACTTGAGCTCTCGATAGCACTGTGTTAGTGACACTGAGCTTAACCCTTGGGTTTCTTCATTTTGTAGACTGATTTCAGCCTCGGGTAAGTTAACTTTTCACTTTTGTTAGGAACAGTTTTTTACCTTTTAAAACCCTTCAAAGCAGGTTTTATGACTGTTGAATATCGCTGATATTAAGCCCACATTGTGGTACCAATTATGGGCAGTGTTATGCAGAGCCAATTACTTGTCTTGTATTCACATGCTTTGGACAGTCAGCATTCTGGGAGGGGAAAAGTGATGGGAAAAACGAATCAACTTGAAAACAGTCAGCAGTAAAGAAGGACATGAAATGCTGCATTCTTCAAGTTAATAACGCTGACAGTGCGAATATTCTAATACGGATGTTAAACAAGGAATGTAATGTGTGAAAGTATATTATGATTAGTAAAACTCCAGATTAGAATAACCCAAGATTAACGATTTCAAAAGAAACAAATCTGAGAATTCATGACTGTGCATGATAATTTACACACTTCGAATGGCGATTTCAATCTCATAACTCTTTATAAAGCTTTTTGTGAGGCAGGCAAGATGTAATGTATTTTGATTATGAACATTCTAGCCATTTTGGAAAAAAATAAATTATTCATTAAAAATACATGTCATCTTTGTCTTGCTTTGAGTGAGCAAGTTAGTGGTTCTCAATCCTGGACCACACAGCCCCCGCTATGCTTAGTTTATTTGTTTCTTTTACCGCTTCAGAGATTTGTTCCATTTGTGTGTATGTGCCCTGCAAGGTGATGTCACAGGATTTTCTCCCACAATTACAGTTTGGGCAGGTGTTCAACTCAAAATGTAATGGGCACAACACATGACTGCTATACTAATCACATGATTGCAATTAAATAACTCTTCATTCTTCTGTAGTAATCGAAAATGCTACAAACAGTTTGGAGCGCAAATATTTTTGTTTTGATTTAATGAATGAAAGAAGTACGCTGCGGGGGGGTAGAGAGAAGTTCACACTAGTGGTAGAGTATGG